AGGCTGGACACGACCAAGCCCAGGCACCCCCGGGCAGCAGGGATGGGGGGATTGTGCCCCTCTGCCCCCTCGGGTGAGACCCCCCAGCAGAGCTGCCTCCAGAGGTGGGGTTCCATCGTCTGAAGGACGTGGAGCTGCTGGAGAGAGTCCAGAGGAGGCACCAGGATGATCAGAGGGCTGGAGGAGCTCTGCTGGGAGGAAAGGGTAGAGGGCTGGGATTGTTCAGCCTGGAGAAGAGAAGCTTCGGGGTGACCTAATTGTGGCCTTGCAGAGCCTGCAGGGAGCTGACAGGGAAGATGGAGAGAGATTATTTCCAAGGGCCTGGAGGGACAGGACACAGGGAATGGCTTCCCACTGCCAGAGGGCAGGGATAGATGGGATAGTGGGGAGAAATCCTTCCCTGGGAGGGTGGGCAGGCCCTGGCACAGGTTGCCCAGAGAAGCTGTTGTTACTCCATCCCTGGGAGTGTCCAAGGCCAGGTTGGAGCAACCTGGGCTGGTGGAAGGTGTCCCTGCCCATGGCAGGGGGTGGAACTGGATGATCTTCAAGGTCCCTTCCAGCCCAACCCATTCCATGTCCTTGCCCATCTCTGGCAGCTCCAGCTCTGTCCCACCAGCAGCACGGGGGGGGCTCAGACCCTCAGCAGCTCCAGCCCAGAGGCAGCTGCAAGACTTGGGGTTCAACTGTCAGTTTAATGGATTTAAACTGCCGGGGGGTGGGTTTAGATGGGATATTGGGAAGGGATTCTTCCCTGGGAGGGTGGGGAGGGGCTGGGATGGAATTGCCAGAGAAGCTGTGGCTGCCCCTGGATCCCTGGGAGTGTCCAAGGGCAGGTTGGAGCAACCTGGGCTGGTGGAAGGTGTCCCAGCCTGTGGCAGGGGGTGGAATGAGATCCTTCCAGGAAGGAGTCAGTGCCAAGGAGCTGCAAAGCCCATAAAATCCATGTCCAGAACTCCACGAAAAGCCAGGGCTGTGTTCCTCCGAGCACCCTGACCTCCTCCAGCCCCAAGCCCTCAGCTCTGCTCCGGGTGCCGGAGGAGGCTGGAATGCAGAGCCCTGAAAGGGGCCACTCAGGCTGCCCTGTGAGCCAGCTCTGCAGGGCCATTGAGGCACTGCAGCCAAAGGCCCGGCCTGGGCCACACTCTGTATTTGTTTTTACACTTTGGGAGCTAAGTTTGGGTCTGGAGCCCTCAGCCACACAAACAGGCCTCTGTCTGCCTCCGAGAGGACAAGGGGGCACTGCAAAGGGAAAGTACATTTTCCACGCAAAGGCAGGGTCAGATCATGAACCAGCTTTTCATATTTGCAGGAAATGCTTGATCCTCCTACACATTCTTTAGGCTGGGCCCACAACACAGGCCCCTAAAGAAAATACATTTCGTGTGGGGAAGGTGAAGCCAAACCTGCATTTGCAACTCGTTTGTAAGTGAAAGATGCTTAAATTGGTCCATTTTTAAAATTGAACCTTATTTATAACCCTATTTATTTGAAGATGCTCCACATTATTGTGGTTGGAGGCAGCTCTACCTGCCCCGGGGGTGTTGGTGGTTGCAGAGCTGGGTGTTTGAGGTGCCCTCAAGTCCCTTGTGCTTTCCCTGCTTGGGAAGAGGTTTCAGTTTCCTGTCACACTATGGATCCACCAGTGAATCTTTGCAGCTGGATTATGTAGTTCTATGCTGAAAAATGTACTAAAAATGCTAATTATGAATTTGAAAAGCACGTGCCATAATGGTGACAAACAACAGGGGGTGTCAGAATTTTGCCAGTCATTGGTCAAAAGTCCTTTGGTTCAAAAGTGACCTCAGAGTTGTGGGGATTCAGTGGCTGGACTCGATGATCTTAGAGGTCTTTTCCAACCTTAAAGATTCTACGACTTAGGCCTAACCTAATCTGACACCCATGAAAATCTCTAGGAACTGTCCATCATTTATCTCCCATTCCTTCCTCTCCCCTCCCCGATGGTTTCGTGGAGACCAGGAAGCAGGAGCTGTGAAACCCTGGAGTAAAATCTGTATTCCTGATACTGCTCAGAATAAAAATCAAACCATGTCCACAACTGTGTATTATCCAGAACATCCACTCAGTGTGCAGGGGGACAAAACAACCACTGCTCTCAGAGGCAACGTTCAAGCAACATCTCAAGCTCTCCACGGCCAGAGCTGCAGTTTTGCCCCCCAGGAGCTGTTTTACTCTTCCCAGTTTTATTTACAGAGCTCATTTTTTTCCAGTATAAACTGGGGCCTTTCTTGCTGGAACCTCGTGGACCAAACTGAAATGTCACAGTAGCTCTGAGCTGCTGGACATCCCTGGAGCTCTGGAGGGATGGGAGCTGTGTCCATCTGGAGCTGTGTCCTGATGGACATGGAGGGGAGATGGAGGTGAAGGTGGAGGTGGAGATGTCTCTGTTGGAATAGACAATTTTTAGGCTTGGGACTAATGATGGGCACTCAACTGGGGTCCTGACCACGGGAAGGCAAAGTTTTCCCAGGGCTGTGGATGTCACAGGACTGCGATCAAGGGGAGGGCTCAGAGGCTCCTGCTCTGCTCCAAACCCAGGGCAAAGGGATGGGGGGCAGGAATGGATGAGGGCATGAAGGACAACAGGGAACGGCTTCAAACTGACAGAGAGTAGGTTTAAATGGGATATTTGGGAGAAATTAGATGGGAATTAGCTCCAGGTTCAGGAGCAGCATTTTGGGGTTGGATGGGGATGTCTCTGGGAGCTGCTGGGGGCAGCTGGTGGAGCAGCAATGGAGCTGTGGGCCTTGGCACCACGAGGGGGATGGAGCTGGGCCCTCAGCAGGGGCTGCTCCAAGGGGACCTCAACAGCTGCCACATTCCACCCCGGGGCAGATCCTCATGGAATGGCTTGGCAATTCCGGCACCTGGCACACGAGGAGACACCTGGATTTCAGTCCATCAGGAACTGCAGTGATGAGACAAGGAGTGAATGGGTTCAGAGTGGAAGAGGGGAGATTTAGATGGGATATTGGGAAGGAATCCTTCCCTGGGAGGGTGGGGAGGCCCTGGCACAGGTTACCCATGAAAGCTGTGGCTGCCCCATCCCTGGAAGCATCCAGGCCATGTTGGAGCAACGTGGGCCAGTGGAAGGTGTCCCTGCCCGTGGTAAGGAGTTGAAACAAGATGGGTTTAATGTCCCTTCTCACTCAAACCATTCCATGATCCTATAACTCTAGAATCTCACCTAAAACTGGGAAAATTAAACCAACAGAGCAGAGTGATGGTGCACGGAGCTTCCAAGGGTTAATAAACCCCCTGGGCACTTCTGAGATGACAAAGTGTTGGCAGGAGACGTGGCTGTTTTTCTGTTTTGCTTGAAACAAAAACCCCAAGCAAACAGTGCAGCACAACTCTGCAGCGACAGACACTTGAAGCAAAGCAGAAAAAAACTCCTCAGTGGTTAAAGAACCTTGCAAATATTTCCTGTCATGCTTAAAAGGAGATTGATACAAAGATAAGGCTTCAAAACAAAGAGGAGATCGCATTTGTGGGCTGCAGCCCAAACCCTCCAGCACTAGGATGTTGCCTGACAAAATCTTTACCTCTGTCAATAAAAAAAAAGCCCTCTGGAAGGAGCATTTCCCAGTTGCTGCCATGGATTTGCCTTTGCCTGTGAATTCAGGAAGCTGCAGGAGGTTTCTTGTAACAGGAGACCCATAACAATGCTCTGGACAAGTCATTTTTTATTTCCCATCTTAAAAAAGAGGCAGAATCTGTAAAAAAAAATCCTACTGGGGAGGAGCGAGACCAAACATCCTTCCATAGAAATGGATCCTTGAGATCTGGAGCTGCTCAGAAGCCAGACAAGTGGAAAGTGCATTGTCAAAAAACTGCTTTCAGTGATGCCACCTTTAATTTCAGTGTCTATAAACGTCAGGGTTTTCCTTGCAGTGAAACCTCTCCTCAGAAACAGCAGCCTGGGAATCCTCAGGCACAGGATCCCTTCCCAGGGCAGTGGGATTCCCCTCTCCTTGGGCAGTGGTGTGGCCACGAATTGGTGTGAAGGAACGAGGATCAGAATGGGAAGGGTTTCAGGGATGGAAGAAGACATACAGCCATTGAAAGGACTTTATTACAGTTATTGTGTGTTTTGCATTGCATGATTCCCCCAGATTTGTATTTCCCAGGTTTGCCCAGGCATGCCTCTTCCCTGCTTCCCTGCTTCCTTTCTGCACACATTTTTCCCAGTTTTCCAGCTGTAAAAATGGGATAATGATCCCTGCACACTCTGCAGAGGCTCCTGGGTGAAAAGCTGTGCAGTAGGAGAGCAGAGTTTTGGTTCCATGGGCTCAGCTGGGTTTGCAGGGAAATTTGGAATCGAAACCATGGACTTGGAGAGGTTCAGAGAAGTTCAGAGAGGAGAGGTTCAGAGAGGAGAGGTTCGGAGAGGAGAGGAGAGGTTCGGAGAGGTTCAGAGAGGGAAAAGAGAAAAGATGGGTTTTTAATGAGAATGGTACTAAATCTGTGATGAAGAGCAGAGTTGAGTGAGTTCAGGCAGGGGGACACCCCGAGGTCCTGCCCAGTGAGGTCACCAGGCTCACATCCCACTGTTGCTGTTCCTTTCCAGGAGCTGATGGACAGAAATGACCTTGGGAACTGGGAGCAAACCTGCAGCCAACAACCCTCCAGCGTCCTCTCCTCCCAGAGCCCAGGGCTGCTCAAGCAGCAGCTCCCAGGAGCCCTTCCAAGGCTTTGGGACTCAGCTGGCAGGGAACAAGCTGCTGCAGAGCGAGGAACTCGGATGTTTCATTGCAAAAACAGCAGGTCAGGCTGAAGGTGAAATTCTTGGCCCCCTGCTTTTGTTTCTGATGATTTTTGCCGGGCAAATCTTCGCCCTCCTCTCCCTGACACCTCCCCTGCTGGACACCACCTGCCCCGGAAGGGCTGGTCCTCCTTGGGGGGAAAGGTCCTGATGAAAAAGCAACGAGACAATTTTGCTTTCTTTATCACTGAGAAACCAAAAAAGCCCTCATGTGACTTTGTAGATGACTTCACACATTTAGAGGGCAGGAAGGAAGTCGGGCTGCAGTGCTCCCTTCGCTCTCCTGTGGGGCGGCAGCTGCAAATTCGGCCTCATTAACTCCCAAAATGACCCCCCAGACACCCCCCGAGCCCCCCAAATGCTGCTTCTTCAGCATCAAGACAGCCACAGTGGCCCTGGGGATCTTCCACATGGTGAGTTGTGGGGCTGGGAGAGGGCACAGGGAGGTGGAATCTCTCCCCAAGGTTTCCTGCCCCTCGAATTTTCCGTGTTGCCAAAAGAGAAAACCCGATTATTTAAGAGGGATGGACAAAAGAGGAGAAGGTGGTGGGGAAAAGGAGGGAGAGTGGATGAATTTTCCTGGACTGGGAGAGGTTTTTAACTATTTTTGCCTGGCTCTACCAATTGGAGCCCATGGAAAGTCACTGTGCTTCCTGGTTTTCCCCTGCTCAGGGCAGGGACTCTTACCAGGACTGGGTGTGGAGCTTGGCCAGGGCTCAGCGTGGAGCCCTGGACCTGCTGGGTACAGTGGGCAGCACTTTCACACTGGGAATGTGGGAATGCCAATGGGAATGTGGGAGTGCTGCAAGAGGGAGGAGGGATTTGTGCTCTGGGTGAGCAAAGAGTGACAGGCAGAGCTGCCTCATCTCTCACTGCATAGTGTTTGCAGTGCTTCTGTCTCTCTTGGAATCTTCCCTTCCCTCCCCTCCCCTTCCCAAACCTTCCCTTCCCTTCCCTTCCCTTCCCCCTGCCCCTCCCAGATCACAGGCAATGGGACCTCCCCCCGTTTTTGGAGCAGATGCTGCAAAGCCACAGCTGGGGCTTCGCTCTGCTCCCCCTCTGCCCACCCTGGCAGTGCCCTCAGTGCCAGGGCTGCCTGGGGAGGAAGGTTTTTATCTCTCAGGGACACCCCTAGTGCAGTTCAGCCACCCCTGGAGGGACCAGCTGGATGTGGGTGGTGGCTGGGAGGGTCTGGGGTCACCCTCAGCCCTTGGGGGTGCAGTGTTGTTACACCAGAACAGGGACTGCCCCGAGATAAGCACAGGGGGGGTGTTCAAATGGTGCAGGGGGTGGTTTCAGGGACCACCAGCAACTAAACCACACCTTGGGTTTAGACCAAGCAGCCAGAGATGCTCTTAAACACCTGGAAAGATCCAGTAAAGGATGTGGGGAAAGGGCAGGAGCAGCCTGAGCCCTCGGCTCTCCAACTGCTGCCACCCCTCAGTGATGTCCCATCACCACAACCCCAAAACCTGTGACCCCCCAAATCCTCGTGGGTCCCCCTGTGTCTGCACCTCTGGTTTCACGTCCTGCCCCACTGAGTTCCTCCATTTGGTTTCCCAAATGCCCTGCATTTCTCCGGGCACACCTCATTTCTCCCTGATCATTGCACACCTGTCCCCACCAGCCCTTTCTCCCAGGTCCATCCTCTCAGCCATCCTTTATCCACTTGTATATCCCCACTTATCCTGTTTTCCTCTTCCTACAGAACAGTCCAATCTCTTTTACTCAGAACTCCACGAAAAATGGTTTATTCTTTGATAAGATTGCCTTGTCTTCTTCTTGTCTGTGTCACTTCTTTAAGAGGTAACACAGAATATCAACCATTTCCCCCCCACACACATTTCTCAACCTTTTTGAGGGTGTAGCTGCAGCTGCACAGAGGGAGGGAAAGAGAAAAGGGGATTTATACCTTGGCAGTGACTTGGATGATTTGCTGCCTCAATACAGTTGCTTTGGATCAGTATAAATTCCTGCTGTGGGTCCCAGTGACGGATCACAGCCATGCTGGGTGGGAGCAGTGCCATCAAACACGAGCTCTGGGGCTTTGTGGCCGTGTCTTGTCCCCCTATAAATTCAATTTGCCTCACTGCTGATCTCTTCAGAGGCAGAGGAAATAAATCCTGGGCATCCTGAAAGCAAACAGGGAAGGAGAAGGAGGGGGATGAGGAGGGGACAGAGGTGTGGGATTAGCAAAGCTTCACTGCCTGCTGGGAGGTGACTTGCAGGTGATGTTCATGGAGGGATTTGTCCTGCTCATCAGCTCCTCTCAGGCATGAAGAGACCTGAAGGAATTTGACATTTAGCTTCAAGATCAGGGCTGGGAATTTGCTTGGCCAGAGGAAGCCTTTAGAAAGCAGCTTCTCTGGAGTTTTTCTCAGTCGTAGACAAGTTTTTCTCTGGCAGCAGAAAGTCACCCCTGGGACCTCCCCAGGTCCATCCTCAGCGCTGGCTACGATTCCTGGCAGAGCAGAGCTGGGATTCACTGAGCACTCCCCAGGCTGGGCTGACCTGAGGTGTCCCACAGACCCTGTGCTGCTTCCTCCTCCTCCTCCTCCTCCTCTTCCTCCTCCTCCTCCTCCTCCTCCTCCTCCCGGAGCATCTCTGTGGCACAAACCAGGGGGAGGAGGAGGAGGAGGCAGTAGGAAGGAAAAGAGAAAATGTTTTGAAAGGAAACCAAGTGGGAACTAAAAACATTCCTCACTTCATCCCACACTGCCACAACAAGCACTTTTAAAGTGAAATAAGGAGGGGTGAAGCTCTGAAAGTGCAGCATTTATGTGTTCTTTGCCTTCAGAGTGCTGGGTGTCACCTGCTTCTGTCAGAACCCCACTGGCCCCAGGGACCCCTGGTGATCCTGGCATCAAACTGTTCTTGCAGAAACCCTCGTTGGGAAGACAAAAAGGGAGCATCTGCCACCCCAGGGTGGTGTGCATGAACAGAAATCACTCGGGGATCAGTCAAATTGAACGTATCTCAGAAAAAAAAGGCACAACACAACCTCCAAGAGCAGTTTAACCCTCCGGGATTATTCACCAGGGGTGGGGGCTGTGTGTGCCAGGCTGTGTGTGCCAGGCTGTGTGTGCCAGGCTGTGCACATCCTGCCTGCCAAGACACCCCCAATTTATCTGCCTTGATTTAATGAGCAGCTCTGCCTCAGTCCTGCACGATGTCACAGTGTCATGGAATCGTGGAATATCCTGAGTTGAAAGGAACCCACGAGGATCATCCAGATCCAACTCCTGGCACTGCACAGACACCCCAACAATCCCACCCTGGGAGTGGGTGGGAATCCAAACCCTCCTGGAGCTCTGGCAGCCTTGGGGCTGTGCCCACTGCCCTGGGGAGCCTGGGCAGTGCCCAAATATCAGGCAAAGGTTCTTCCCCCAGAGGCTGGTTGGGCACTGCCCAGGCTCCCCAGGGCAGTGGGCACAGCCCCAAGGCTGCCAGAGCTGCAGGAGGGTTTGGCTGATCCTCTGGGGCACAGGGGGGGACTCTTGGGGCTGGGCCTGTGCAGGGCTCAGGGTTGGACTCCATCATCCTTGGGGGTCCCTTCCAGCTCTGGATATCCTGGGATTCCAACCCTCCTCTGACACAGCTCCATTCACTCACGTCCTGGTGCCACAAATTCCTTTTGCCAAGAAATGTGTTTAACTCCTGTGAAACAGAGGCAGCACCAACCTGAGAGGTGTCCTCCAGGAGTGGAGGACAAGAGAGGAAGAGAGGAAGGGGCTGTGGAGGGGCTGGGGGTCAGCAGCACCCCAAGTGAGCTGGGAATTGGGTGCTGGGGGGGGAATCCTCCCGTTTTAAACCTGCCTTTCTCCTGTCAGGACATAACAAAGGGAAAGGGAAGGGGATTCTTGCCTGAGCAGCCCTGGCAGGCTGAAACAAGGACTTTTTGGTTTCTCCTGGAGCCGAAGGGTAAATCTTGAGTCAGAACATGCACAGCCCTAGAGAGGTTCCATCACCACATCCCAGGCACCATCCACCCAGTGCAGGAGATGGAGAGGTGTCCTGCTCCTCCCAGGGTGTGATGGGGAGCCCAGGGAGAAGGTTGGACATCATTCTCTCCTCGTAGCTCAGTGGCTCGTTCTTTCCATGCATTTCTAAGCCCTTGTAAATGGAAAGTTTAAACCAACTTTTGCTTTGAAATTCTTCTCCTTCATCTGTCAGGCTGGGCTTGGGTTTCCTGCCACCTGCTTAACTTTGGGAACTGCAGTTGGTCTGGTTTTGTGGCTCATTTCAACACCAACAAGGAAACCAAGGGTGTCTTCTGCTCTGCTGTTCCCTCTTTGATAGACCCTGGAGATGGTTCTTTGTGCTGAAGATAAAAATTATAAATCCATCTGGGGTGGGAGCATTTGGGATTTGATGTCCTGCTTTCAGTCATTGCCTTCCAGGAATTAAGCTGATATTTAGGGTTCACTTCATCCATTTTGCTCAGGCCTCCTTTTCACTGAAACCTGAGGGAAAAATAGCAGTTTATCCCTTTATTTCCCACGTTTCCATTTGAGGGTCTGACCAACAGCAGCAATAAGAAACAAAATCTCTTTGGGAGCATGAACATAAAAGCTGTCAGACAAGTTGGGGCACCTGCAGCCAGGTGTGATCTCCAGGTGTAGGCAGAGGAGAGATCCTTCACATCCCAGGGTTGATCATCAGGTGTAAAGTCACTTCAGATCGATGCACTTTCACCCTTGACAAGGTTCAGTGCTGCCCTGGGACCTTAAATGCTGTTACAATAAACCTTCTTATGTTAACTTTCTTGTATCCCCATGTAATAAGATCTAAATTTTTTCTCCTTTTCCTGTCGGCCTCAAAGCAAAGTTCAAAGTTCATTTACTGCAGGGCAAAAAAAAAACCAACAACAACAAAAAAACCCCAAACACAAGCCCAAAAGAAATCACAGAATCACAGAATGCTTTGGTTTGGAAGGGACCTTTAAGATCATCCAGTTCCAACCCCCTGCTATGTGGCTTTTGAACAACCCGATATCAGCCAGGTCAGGAGAAGACATGAAACACTCAGGAATTGTTTTAAATTCCAAGGGAGGGATTGTGGTGGGATCCCAGGGGTCTGGGTGGGGCTGGGGGGATGCTCACCCTGAACACAAAGGGCTCTGGGGGATGTTCAGCTCTTCTGGAGCTCAGAATCACAGGATGAACCAGGTTGGAACAGACCTCTGGGATCATCAACCTGTGACCCAACCCCACCTTGTCACCCAGCCCATGGCACTGAGTGACACATCCAGTCTGTGCTTAAACACCTCTGAGGATGGGGACTCCACCCCCTCCCTGGGCAGCCCCTGCCAATGTCTGATCCCTCTCTGGGTAAAGAAAGTTGGTGAGTTTGGGTTTGAAAACAGCTTCTGGGTCTGCAGCTGAGGCAGAGACAGTGAGGGAGTGTGTGCTGAGCTCCTGCCTGTGCAGCCTGTCCCCCCCAGCCACGCTTCCCCCTTTCTGGGGGGATGCAAAACCTTCCTTTCTGTGTCTCCTTGGCTTGTTTTCCATCTGTGGCAGCTCTGGCAGCTCTTCCCTGCAGGGGCAGTCCCAGCACCCCTGACTGGAGCTCCTCTTGCCTCAACTTGGATCTCAAATGCCTCCTCCTGACACTGCTGTGACAAAGCTCCTCTTCCTTGTGCCCCCTCACACTCAGCTTTGTCTCAGCTCCCTGAGCAGCTGCTTTTGTGCTGTTTCCAATACACAAAGTTTGGAAACACGAGCACAAACCACACCAGTTCTGGTTCCTCCTTTGCTGCTTCACTTCTCGCAGTGGTTGCTGAAGTGAAAGGGTCGCTGGAGCTCTGGTGGAAAAGTTGTTTCAGCTCTACCCAGGTTTGTGTTGATCTTGGTGGCTGATACCAACCGGCTTCCTTACCAGTGTGGGGTTCAGATGACTCAGAATCACAGACTGGATCAGGCTGGAAGGGACCACAGTGTCCCATCTGGTCCCACCTCCTGCTCCAGCAGGGCCATCCCAGAGCACCTGGCACAGGATTGTGTCCAGAGGGGTCTGGAATATCCCCAGGGAGGAGACTCCAACCCCTCTCTGAGCAGCCTGTTCAGTGCTGACAGTGAAGTTCTTCCTCCTGTCCAGGTGGAGCTTCCTGGGCATCAGTTCCTGCCCGTTCCTGCTGTGCCATTGCTGGGCCCCCCCAGCAGAGCCTGGTCCCTCCTCTGCCCCCTCCCTGCAGCCCCTGACACACCCTGGGGAGGGCCCCTCTCAGGGTCTGCTCTGGAGGCTGAACAGCCCCAGCTCCCTCAGCCTGTCCTGCTCCCAGAGCTGCTCCAGCTCCTTCATCTCCACAGCTGCTCCAGGAGCTCCATGTCCCTCTTGCCCTGAGGAGCCCAGAGGTTGTGCAATCCAGATAAAAAGGCTTCTCTCCTTCCCCTCATCACAACCACCTCGTTGTGTTGGTACTTTTGTTGGTGTCTCCTGGCCCTGCTCATCTGCAGAATGGCTGCTCCCTGCACTGGGCCTGGTGCTGGGGTGAAGATGGAGAGGGATGTTGGCTCAGGTTTCTCCTTTTTTTTTGTACATCTCAGGATTTCTTCCCCTGCAGACTCAGTTCAAACTGCACAGGATGTTTCCTTGGCCTGAGTCCTGCTCTTTGCTCTACCTGCCATCGTGAAAGGTCTTCCTGGACAAGCAGAGAAGAAGTGGCAGCTCTTTCCACAGCAGCAGAGGGGTCCTCAGGGAATGCAGCAGCTCCTTCCCCAGCCACCCACCCTGGCCAGCCAGTCTGAGAACAGCCCAGCACACCCAAGGCTGCTTTGGCTGGGTTTTTTGGAGGCTTTTTTGCAGCTGTAGGGAGCAGGACTGGTAGCCCATGATCTGCTACCACCTCAAAGTGCAGAAGAAACGAAAGACAGAACAAGCAGAGGGAGGAAAACAGAGCTTGGAGAATGAGGGAGGAAGGGGTGAGCAGGATGAGCTGAACGGGGCAGTCAGGAAGGGGACACTGTCAGTGAGGTGAGGAAGGAGCAATAAATGGCACCAGAGCAGTCCTTTACCCCCAAAAGTGGTATTTGCACTGCCCAGAGTGAGCAGGGACTGATGGACATTGTGCCCTTGGACTCCTTGTTCTCAGATGCACACGTTTGGTCCCGTGGATGTGCCGGTGCAGGGGACACACTGGCAGGAAGGGATTGTCCCCAGGAGGGGTGGGAGGGGGGTTCTGGCCCTGTGGTTACTGATTTCCTGGTTCTGCTTGCACAGGAATACCCTGGACCTGCTGTTTGAGGGGCTCCTGGTGAGGTCTCCAGCCTTTGAGGGTTTTCTGCACCCCCTGAGTGCCCCGTGTCCCATGAGGAAGATGGAGAGGGACTTGGGACAAGGGATGGAGGGACAGGACACAGGGAATGGCTTCCCACTGCCAGAAGGCAGGGAGAGATGGGATAGTGGGGAGAAATCCTTCCCTGTGAGGGTGGGCAGGCCCTGGCACAGGTTGCCCAGAGAAGCTGTGACTGCCCCTGGATCCCTGGAAGTGTCCAAGGCCAGGTTGGAGCAACCTGGGCTGGTGGAAGGTGTCCCTGCCCATGGCAGGGGGTGGAACTGGATGATCCTTAAGGTCCCTTCCAACCCAAACCATTCTGGGATTCCATGATTGTTTTGCAGCAGGAGCTCTCCCTATCCAGGGGTTAGACACAGATTTTTCACTCCACACATCATCCCTGCGTGGATGTAGAAGTTCAGGACCAGGACTGAGAGCTCCAGACCTTCACTCCGTCTCAGTTGCTAAACTCAGGATGGAAAGACCTCCAGAGTCTGGGGTTTGATAGTTCAATTTGGAGAAAATAATCTCAATTCAGTGCGAAAAAAGAACATTCGAAGATTTTCCTCAAATAAATAAAAGAATGAAAGTGGCATTTTTGCCAGTGGAGCAGCACAGCTACACTTACAGAGAGATCTTTGGTCTTTTTGTGTTTCTTTTTACACTTTAAAACTCTGTTATTACATTTAGCTCAATTCTGAAGCAAAAGGCAATTTCCAGGCATAAACCCGGGACTTTCTGGATAAAAACCATTGAAACCAAACTCATTAAGTTTGTCATTTCTCCATCCTCCTTCTGCTGGCAGAGGAAATACAGTTAGACCCAACCCATTAATAAACTGATAACTTTTGCCTCCATGTTTCCTTGCCCAGGATTTTAAACCTTCTGGGTTTGCTTCCCTTGGAGACTTCAGCCTGCATTTGGTTCTGGGGCCATTTCACCAGCCCTGGAAATAAATCTGCTGATGGGAAGTTGGCCCAGGGCCACTGACTTGTGTCCTTTTGCTTTTGTTCTCCCAGGTCATGAGTGTTTTGCTGCTGATCGAGTATTCCCTGGAGGTGTCCAACGGGAAGGGCTTCCACAAAGATCTGCCCAAGGATTACTACGGGATTGGTGGGTCACTGGGGGGCTGGGGGGGGGTTTAGAGGGAGCCCAAGGTCCTGCACTGGCCCCTCTTCCTTTTTCAGCAAAGAAAATCAGAACCTGGTGCTCACAGCAGACGGGCCCAGAGCTCAGATGTTGTTTCCCAGCTCCCCCGATTCCTTGTCCCATTCTTCCTGCCACGCTCAGACATGGAATTGAGGCTTGCAAATTTGGATTTTGGCTTGTTGGGAGATCAGTGTGGAGAAGTTGCCTTTATTTCAGCACCCTCACACCCCTTCATCCCCCCTGCAACACACTCGGGATTCACCTCCCGGTCCTGGTTTCTCCCCCATTCCCAGATTTTCCCAACTTCTGGTGCCGTATTTTTTTAAGAGTGTTGGTTGCAGCCAGACTGTTTTGTACCCCACAAATGCTCACAAGCAGCATATTCCTCATGGTTGATTGAATTCCTGGATCTGGAGCTCAGAAGGATCTAACACCAGCCCACCTCCCTCCCTTCCCCTGCCCCTCTCACCCCCATTCCCAGATTTTTCCAACTCCTGGCTTGTTTGTTTTTACAGAACTTTGCTTGCAGCCAAAGACTGGTTTGTATCCCACAAATAGTCACAGGCATCATATTCCTCATGGTTGGCTGGAGTTGGGAAGGATCTCAGATCCTTACAAAGCCCTGCCTCCCAGTGAGCTGGGACCTCTCTCGTGTGGGTGCCATGAAACACAAAATAACCCCCCAAAAAACCTCAAATCTTGCTTCACCAGCTTATTCTGCACAAGGCTCTTTGGAAACCACAACCTCAGGGTGTTTTTACCTTTCTTCAGTCACTTTTCTGTCTAAAACCCCTTCAGTCTCCCCATTCCCACTTCTGGCATTTGCCTCCCAATCCTGGGTTCTCCTCCCTTCCCCTGCCCCTCTGACACCCCTTCCCAGATTTTTCCAGCTCCTGGGTTGTTTTTTTACAGAACTTTGGTTGCAGCCAGACTGTTTTTTATCCTACAGCCATCATATTGCTCACAGTTGGCTGGAGTTGGGAAGGATCTCCCTTAGATCCTTGCAGAGCCCTGGCTCCCAGAGAGCTGGGAACTCTCTCGTGTGGGTGCCATGAAACAGAAAATAACCCCCCAAACCTCAAATCTTGCTTCACCAGCTTATTCTGCACGAGAAACCACAAGCTCAGGGTGTTTTTTTTCCTTTCCTTGGTCCCTTCTCAGCACAAACCCACGAGCTGAGATAACCTTTCTCTGCCAGGCAGCCCGGCTCCCTCACCCGGGGTTGTCTCTCTCCCTGTGGAGAAAAAAAAAAACCCACGTTTTTCCAGTGAAAAATACAACTTCTGGCAGCAGGAATTGCTTGTTCCCTGCTTTTTCCTTGTGTCCTTCCCCAGGCTGCAAGACCCCCGAGAGTGGAGGAAGAGAAAACCAAGTAGAGCAAGTTCCTGCAGCTCCCAAACTCACTTGTCCCTGGAGGGGGAGTGAGACAGAGTGGAAAGCACCAAAGCAGGAATAGTCACTGTCTGGTGGATTTGTGATGGGTTCACAGTTTTCCTAACCCCCAGCTGGGGTTTAGGAGGCTGTTTTACATCGGTGCTGTGGGGTTTGTTTGATAAAATAAAACCATGGAATGGTTTGGGTTGGAAGAGACCTCAAAGATTGTCCAGTTCCAGGACAAAAGGCATTGACGGGGAGCAGAAAATGGAATTTTGGGTGAGTGCTGAGCACAGGACACCCAGGAAGGGGCTGCTTTCAGGGTTCACACCTTTCACAGGGAGCATTAATTCCAAATATCCCAGTCTGGGGGGGTTGGAGGCTCCTTTGCTCTGTGACCCACCCTCAGCAGCTCTGGCTCAACCCAGCAGCCAGTGCAGAGTGGAAAATGCCCTTTCCAGAGCTTTCCCATGGTGGCAACACCCCAAAGAGGCTCCCAACCCGGCTGTTTGCCAGGGAGATCAGGGCAAGACAACCAGGAGAATCCCCTTTTTCCATTTCTGTGACAGGAGTTTTTCATTTCAGTTTTTGAAGCACATGATGCCAAGTGTGACCTCAAGGCCTTTCTTCCTTTTTCAGTGTTTGGCTGTTTTGCTGCTTTGTGGGAGTATTTTTGTTTGTTTGGGGTTTTTTTGTGGTTTTTTTGGTTGGTTGGTTGGTTTTTTTGTGGGTTTTTTGTTTGTTTGTTTGGGGTTTTTTTTGGTTTTTTTTTTGTTTGTTGGTTTGGGGTTTTTTTCTGGGTTTTTTTGTGTTTGTGGTTTTTTGTTTTGCTTTTTTTTTTTTTTTTTTTTTTTTTTGTTTGGTTTTGGTTTTTTTCTTTTTTTGTTTTGTTTTGTTGTTTGTTTTTTGGGTTTTGTGGGGGTTTTTTGTTTGTTTTGTTGCTGTTGTTGTATTTTTGATTGATTTATTGGTTTCAAGGTACCCACCTTGGCCGTGGCCACAGTCACAAATAGTTTGTCCTGATGGTGGAGCACACAGAGAATTCTGAGTAGGACAGTGACCTGAACTGCTCAACACTAAACAAGACATTTGCAGATCAGAATATTTTCCCACAGACACAGTGATGTAAAAATTAAAATTGTTTTTCATTTTTTTTTTGCCAAAAAGATCATCCGGGGCCAATAATTTTTCACTTTTTTTTTTCCAAGCATCTGAGTAAAAGATGCTTTAAAGAAACAGAAATAAGGAGTTGAGACAGATTTTTCAGGTGATTTCCGTGCTATTTTGTGCTTTCTAAGCAAGATTTCTGCAAATCTGGAGGGTGTTCCTTTAAGAATAGAACTGTTCTGAGGGAAATTGGCCCCGTTTTTAACACTCCCCCCCCCCACACAATTAAAAATGACAGGTTTTCCCCTCCCCCTCTTCCACTGCCTCCTACACCAAAAACAAAATAAAAAAGGAACATTTTCTAATGAAATCCCCAGCACTTCCACTTGGCTTCTCTTCCCGAGCATTTCAAAGGGCTCTGCTTGGGAGATTTTTCTGATTAGAGCTGGAACAAACACGGCACAACCCTTCCAGTTCCAGAAAGGAGCAGGGAAGCCACGCGAAAAGTCCAATCCCACTTCCAAAACCCAGCTGGAAGAGTCGGAGAAAAATTTAGGGAGAGGTTCTGGGGCTGCCCTGAGCATCTGCTGCTCTGTCTGTAGATTCTAACACACCTCAAATACATCATTCCAAGCTGCAGCCCCGGCCCAGGAATGGAAACGAGGGAAGGTTTTGTTTTTCACATCAGACAGCAGGAAAAAAAGACATCCAGGATTTTTTTTTTCCTAAGGAATCAGGCTGTTGGTCACAGGAATCTGGTCTCCAGGATCTGCAAATGCCTCAAAGCCCAGGGATCTCCTGCCTCTGGAGGGTCACTTGTCACCCTGCCAGCCCTGCAGAGGATTCCAGGTGCCATTTGTCCTCTCATGGAACGCCCCACGCTTCCATGGATTTGCACACAGGGCTGAGAACCAACAGCTCCCACCACCCCAGGGGGTCTCCTTCCCTCACCCCAAGTGCTGAACGTGCCCCCAGAAAGGAAGAAAGCACTTTGTTGGAGTCAAATCCTTGATTCCCGAGATCCCAGCCGTGGTTCCAGCAGCCAGCAGGAAGGGGGACTGTGTCTGCTGTGACAAACAAGGCAGACAGCGCCGGGAAAGTTGTTTTCCCCTGGTTTTCCCTTTCTTTCCATCCCTTTGTGCTTGTAGGATTGTAGGGGGGTTCTTTGGGGGGGTTTTTTTGTCGTTTTATTTAGGGTTTTTTGATCAAGGTTCTGCTTGGAAAACTCAACTGGGCTCTGCCAGCAATTAGCCCACAGCAGCAGTGGCCAGTTGCCCAATTAATTAACGAGCTTGTGGAGAGAGCTGGAGCATGAGAGCATGGAGAGGGAGGCAGAGCAACGCAGGATCCAGGGAAACATCGTGCTGAAGAGAGAAATCCTCCCTGGAGCAAACTTGGAGTGCTGCTTCGGGGAGAAAACCCGAGGAAAACGGCTCCGGGCAGTTTGGGTTCAACAGGCCTGGGCTCGGCTCTTTCAGGCTGTTCCTCCAAAGCCTGCCCGGCTGCTTTGTTAAGCTCTGCTTAGCTGGGAGGTTACACCGTGCTGGTGTTAGTCTTTGTTCTCTGAGCACCACATCACAGCCTTGTTTCTGCCCCCCTGCTCCTGGAAGGTGGGTCGGGGTTGGCCTGGAAGCTGCAGCTCTTCCCTGAGGAGCTGCAGAGCTGGGAGCAGCTGATCCCCCGGAGCAGAGGGAAAGCAGCTTTGGATCGAGCTGCACTTTGGAGCCTGGATTTTCTTCAGGAAGCAAAGCCCTTTCTGTGTCACCCTCCCTGTTCTCATTCAGGGTTTGCTGCATTTGGGATGGGTTTCTTTGCTGTTTCCTAAGATTTCTTCCTCTTCTGCATTTCAATTCCCATTATTTCGTGAAAAACAGCTCCTGCACTTGGGGTTTTTTATCATGTTATAACTAAAAGCTGGTTTTTTGCTCTGTACTTAGGTCATATTTTCACAACTCTCTTTTCCTGATGCAGGTCAGGTGTTTGTTGGACACTTTTGGTCACTCCCTTAGGTCTTGGATGTCTCCCTGCTCATGTGCAGCAGCTCCTGTGGTGCTGCTCCCTCCCCTCTCCACATGAGCTATTTTTGAGGGGGTGCTGCCTCCTCAAAGGGTTTTTCCCTCCAAAACTGCAAAAGAAGAGGCTCCTTGTTCTCAGGGAAGGAAGTGCTGGTCAGAGCTGCTTTCCCAACTAAAGATTCCCTACGAGCAAATCACCTTTCCAGAGGGGACTCAAGGGTGTTTTTAATCCTTGAGGAAAAAGGGAATTTAAAATATCTTCTGTATCAGTGCATTTAAACTGAGTGAATGAAGGATGTGAGGAGTGTTGCTGGTGGTGTCACCTGCCCTTGCTGCCAGAGGTAGCTGAGCCCAGCTCTCAGGAATCCCAGAATCCCAGGATGTGCTGAGCTGGAAGGGACCCCCAAGGATCATGGAGTCCAACCCTCAGCCCTGCACAGGCCCAGCCCCAAGAGTCCCCCCCTGTGCCCCAGAGGATCAGCCAAACCCTCCTGCAGCTCTGGCAGCCTTGGGGCTGTGCCCACTGCCCTGGGGAGCCTGGGCAGTGCCCAAACACCCTCTGGGGGAAGAACCTTTGCCTGAGATCCACCCTGAGCCTGCCCTGACACAGCTCCAGCCGTTCCCTGGGGGCTGGTAGTGGGAGGTTAAAATTACTGCCTCTTGTCTGCTTGGGCTCTTGAAGATCCTTCCCCAGTTTTCGCTGTTCCTTGATCTGTTTGTGAGTCACAAATAATTTCTGCCTCTGACTCATTAACTGAAAACACTCTGCCTTTTTTATTTCTACTTCATTTTACCTTGATATTTAAAATTTCAGTCCTTGGCTCCCTCGTGCCTGAGCTCAGAGCCTGCACGACCTGGTGGCTGAAGAGACAGAAACTTCAAAGACAGATTCAAAAGTGGGTTTAAAAAGGGGGGAAAGGAGTTAATTCCAGCTGCATGACACCCATTACCCTCCCCACAGGATCCTTTGTGCCAGGTTATCACAGTTTATCTCTTCCTTAGAGCTGTGATTGAACTGGGACAGCAGGGTTTGGTAACATGGTAATTACTTTTATGACTTTTAGCCGATGTTGTCACCAGTTTCCTGCTGATCATCATGTTGTTTGTCATCAGCTTCAACCTCCTCCTGGGTGTGCTGAAGGTAAGATCTCCACCAGTGACATTGAGCTGCTGGCTCAGGCCCGGCCCAGGTGGGAGGGTTTGGAGGAGGGGGCTGGAAGGTGTTCACTGAAATGCTGAAATATGCCCAGAAAAGCAGATAAATCCCTGTGTCACAGCGTGGGAGGGGGACTGTTTGTAGTCTCAGACTCGTCTTCAAGGCTGCTAAATGCCAGAGTTACCAAATCTGGAGCATCAAGACTAATTTTTCTGGGTTAAGTGATGGAAATGCTACGATTGGAGATGTTTTATTGCCTCATTTCCCTGCTCTTTTGCAAGTCAGGTCCTGGAGAGGAACTGGAACTCCCCTCTTACAGTGAGGACTCCTTTCCCACTTCAGGAGGAGAAATGGCAATGCCTTGGGGTGGGAACCCAAGTAGCTTGGTGTTAGTACCAAGCTGAAGCCCTACCCAAGCAGCACAGCTCCCCTCTCTGTGGTAAATTTTGGGGAGAATGGAATGACAGCTCTGATGGGATTCAGTGTCAGAGTGAAAACTCCCAGAAATTTTCCAAGGGGCTGAAAAAATTCCATTTTGGGGCCTTTCATTGTTTGTTGTCACTGGAGTGCGTGGAATCAGGTGCCAGATTTCCAGGGATTTATTTAACCTTGGAGCACCTTAATGTGTGTCCTGTCAGGTGTTGATAGCTGGTCTCATTCTCCCAGTTGGAATAGAAATAACTGGCTTTGCTTTTCTCTCTCAGGAGAGGGAACATCTCCTGATCCGAGTAATTTGGGATTGGTGCCAAGTTTAAGCCCTACCCAAGCAGCAAAGCTCTCCCTCTGTATGGCAAACTTTAGGGACAGTGGAGTGACAGCTCTGATGGGATTCAATGCCAGAGTGAAAACTCCCAGAAATTTTCCAAGGGGCTGAAAAAATTCCATGTCGAGGCCTCTCATTGTTTGTTGTCACTGGAGTGTGTGGAATCAGATGTCAGAACGCCAGGGACTTATTTAATTTAATGTAATTTAATTTTGGAGCACCTTAATGTGTGTCCTGTCAGGTGTTGATAGTTGGTCTCATTCTCCCAGTTGGAATAGAAATGACTGGAATTGCTTTTCTCTCTCAGAAGAGGGAACGTCTCCTGATCCCCTTCCTTGCCCTGCAAGTCATGGACTTCCTCCTCAGCCTCCTGACCATGTTCAGCTCCTACCTGCAGGTCCCAGTGCTCATTTCTGTGTCCTCCCTGAGCCACACGGTGGGTAACAGCTTCTTCTGGGGGGGTCTTCTCTGGTTTTTAGCAGCTGGAGAATGAAGGGAATAAAGGGTCGTTATTTTGGGCCACAATCCTTCATAGAATCATTTAGGCTGGAAAAGACCTTGGAGAACATCAAGTCCAATGGCTGGAGACAGGATACAATCCAGGCTGGAGGGTTCATAAGGAAAACTAGTGGCAGGTGGGACATTTAGTTTCCCCTGGCTAAAAAGTTGATTTTCATTTTGTCTCATGGTTTCGGGGGAAGGTGTTTCTAGGAAGGGTTTGATGGAAAACTGGGGCTATCAGTGCTCCAAGGAGAGGCCTCTTCTGTGGAGCTCCTCTAAATCAACCCAACAAGATGGTTTGCTCCCCATTTTGGCCAGAATGAGTGAATTTATTAGCGTGAGAAAAGCGTAAAATGTGAAGAAGCCTCTAGAAGGGCCACAGTCTCGTAACCACAACCAAATTCCTGTTGCAGCAGGGACATTCCAAGATCCCTCTCCTGGCTCTGCAGCTGCTGGACTTCTGCCTGAGCATCCTCACCCTCTGCAGCTCCTACATGGAGGTGCCCACCTATCTCAGCCTCAAGCCTTCAGACAATGGGGTAGGTCATGGACAAGCTCCTGGTTTTTCGGGCTATGAACTCCTGCAAAGCTTCCTTCAGGAATCAGCTTTCTCTGCCCTCTCTGTTCGACCACCAGAGAGGGGTTTCTGTAAGTTCTCCCCCCCATGGTGTCCTTGACTGTCAGCTCCTTTGGGCCTGTGTTCCTTAAAAGCTCTCCTTGTTTTCCTGGTAAGGATCTTATGGATGCAAATTGCAGAGCAGAACGACTGGGACAGACCTGCCTGCAGACATTTTCATCTTTATTCAACAGCCCTGCTTTTAATTTTCATTTAAATCACCCACTGGAAGATGTTTCTGTATTGGGAAAGGAAAGTTTCCCAATTTCTGAGGGACCTCAAACACCATCACTGGGTGGGACCCTGGGACAGGTGTTTGTGACTGAGACCTTCTCCCTCTTTCCACAGGGATTTCTGCCAACCCTGGAGAAGCTGCCAACAGAGGAATATGCCAAAGTGATGATCACCTTCACCATCGCCTTCATCGCCGTCCTCTTCCTCAAGGTAAAAGCTGCAGGGGCTGCTGGGGCTGCAATGGAGCTCCTTTGGCTGGGGAATAGGAAAATTTGGGGTTACTTCTCTCCCAAACCTGCCAGGGCATTGGAAAGCCTTGCTGGTGTCTCCCTGGGCACAGCAGGAGCTGGTCTGAGGCAGGACTAACATCCAAAGCACTGGGGTTTTTTTTGCTCCTGCAGATGTGGGTTAGAAAGTTATAAAATCTCTCTTATATCCAAAATAAGAGTTATAAAACCTCTCTTAGATCCAAAAAACTCTTGCTGCCCATCCACCTCTCGAAGGATCAGAGGGTTGAAAACAAAGATGGGGAAGCATTCTGCTGCTGTGGGACAAAATAAATCAGATTATTGAGGAGCAGGTTGGATCTTCTGCTGGGGGGAGTGGCTGTATCCACATTGGTGTGAGCAGAGTTCTGCACTGACACCCTGGAAGTTCATTAAAAGCAGGAGTTGCTGAATCCTGCAGACTCCACTGGGAGATGTTTTCTATTCCTCTTGCTTCAGTGGCTCAGAGAACACATTTTTCACTGAGGGGTTCCAGGCCCACTGAGAGAACCAGATCTTTCCAGGTACTTGGGCAGGCTCTGTCACAGTGAAAAATTGCTGCCTGTTTGTTGGAAAATACTTTATATTCTTATATTCTGACTCTTCTCAGGTGGCCAGATAAGGCAGGGTGGAGTGTCTTGTCTTGTGTGGCTGCACTGCAGGCCTGGCTTTAGCATATCTTGGAATATTTGCATGAATTATGGACTAGGAGTGGAGATAACCCTGCAGCAGTGGGGTCTGCAACAGCAATCTCACTGACCTGGCAAATGGGTTGATTTGAATTTTCCACGGGATTGGGTCCAAAACTGCTTAACTTGCACTGACTCCTTGTGCTGGAGTTTGGGGGAGGAGGGATAGGGGAGGACAATTAAAAAAAAACAGTGGACAGGTACAGGTCTCTTCTAAGTACCCCAAAGTATTTTCCCCAGTAATAAAATCAGTCCAAATAACGTGGAAAGTTCTTAAAGAAAACATGTTTCCAAACCAAGTTATGTTCTTTCCTATCTCAGTTTCTAATGGCACTGTCTCTTCTGACTTTTTCCCCCTCTCCTCAGTTATTTATCCCTTTTTCTCCTCACAGCATCTTTTTTGCTCCTCTGCACCCCTGGGGTGCTCTCGAAATGCAACCAAACCCAAGCCAACCCTTTAGACTTCTCCTGGTCTGCTGAACCCCCCCAAACTCCCCCAAAGGAAACCCATCCTTTAAACCCAGTGACAATCCCTCACCTCTTCCCTGGGCAGCAAAACCCTTTTCATGATGGTTCCTTCCAAGTGATAAAGGCCTTTGATGAGAAATGTGGCAACATGAAATATTTTATGACGAGAAATGGGGCAAAAAACACTAAATATTTTATGCCTAAAAAGACCATTTGGCCAATTTAGGGCACATTGGTTTCAATTCACTGAATGCCCACACTGAGGTGTTCTCTCAACAATGTTGGACTAAGATCTTTTTGCACAAATGGACTTGGTTAATGACCCATCACAAGCATTTATGGCCCTAAAATGGTTCTGTGTGTGGTGCTGTTCTCTGCCAGCTTGCAGTTCCTGCCCCCAAATTGTTGTCTGTGTCCCACACCGGGGATAACTCAGCTAAAAGGGGAGCAGATGGGCCACCCGCCCCACTGACCCTGCCAGAGACCTCGGGTGAGCCCTGCAAGGCTTTCCTCATGCTCTCAGCAGGGAAGATTTCCTGCTGGGAGGTGCTGCTGCTCCTCTCCCTCCTTCCCACCCCGTGCCAGGAGTGGGGGATGTGTGGAAGGCCCTCCAGGCAGCCCCCCAGCTCCTCACCAGTGGTGGCTGCTTGGGTGGTGACCTGGAGAGCCCTGCGGGATCAGTTGTCCAAGTCTGAATTCCTGGGAGATGCAAAGGATTCCAAGGGCAGGGGGATGCTCCCATTAAGGCAAGATTCCTTGTTGAGCTGTGTATCCACAAGCAATCCTAGAAGCATGGAATGATTTGGGTTGGAAGGGACCTTAAAGCTCCTCTCATTCCATGGCCAGGGACACCTTCCACCAGCCCAGGCTGCTCCAAGCTGCTCTTGAAGACTTCCAGGGATGGGAGGTGCCCAAGGGGTCACAGCCTGTTCCTGTGACCTTTATCTCACTTCAATATCATAAACTCCTCCTCCTCTGCCCTCACGGTGAGAATGCAGAAAAACAGGGGAATGAGACATTCCTGATGGGAAATGAGAACAGGCTTTGCCAGAAGTGCTGCTGAAGTTGCTCCTTCCCGACCTCCAGGACAAGCTTTCCATCCACGTCCTGGGGCAGCAACTGCCAGAGGAGTTTCCCCTCTCCACTCCAGTGTGGAGAAGGGTGTCCTGCAGTGATTCAGGAGTGGGTTTGGACGAGCCCGAGGTCTCTGCCTGCCTTAGATAAGCTCTGTACTAACAGATCTGCTAAAACTTGCAATTGCTTGCAGGAGTCACTGAACTCATTGCTTGGCACTGCAGCAAACTCCTCCAGAAGCAAACCCAAAGAATGGATTCTTTTGCTGCATTATTTTATTCTATTTGATTTTATTTATTTTATTTATTTTATTTTATTTTATTTCATTTCATTTTATTTTATTTCATTTTATTTCATTTTATTTTATTTATTTTATTTTATTTCATTTTATGTAATTTCATTTTATTTTATATTATTCTATTCTATTCCATTTTATGCTATTCTATCTTATTCTATTCCACTTTATTCTACTCTATTTTATTGTATTTTATTTTATTCTATTCTATTCTGTTTTATTCTATTCTGTTTTATTCCATTTTATTCTATTCTATTTTATTCCATTTTGTTCTATTCCAGTTTATTCTATTCTATTTTATTGTATTTTATTCTATTGTATTCTGGTTTATTCCATTTTATTCTATTCTATTTTATTCCATTTTATTCCGTTCTACTCCATTTTGTTCTATTCCATTTTATTCCATTCTATGTTATTTTCCTGGGCTTTCTTTCCTGGCTGAGTGGAGGTTTCCCCACAGTTTGATGCCTCCAGTGTCTCCCCCATTCCCTCCCTGTCCGAGGAAGCTTTCGGAGGCAGGAAGGTTTTTGCAGCATCCCCTAAAGATGCTCCAGGCTTGGCTTTGCCTCCTCATCCCCGAGGGCCTCGGAGAGATGGATTCCTCCAGCCAGACCCTCCCTCCTTGGGCCCATTCCTTGTCTTGCCTTTGTGCCAAGCCCCACAGCCCCCATTGTCCCGGGAAATCCTGGGCTGCTTTTCGGGACATACAACCCCCTGTGTTCCTGTGCAAAGGCCACAGTGGAGCCCCAGGCCAACAAAAACAAGAGGCACACGACTCTTGCTGCACAGAGGAGGCAAAATATTGATTTAACAGGGGATGTTACACAGACTTTGCTTATTTTCAGCTGCCACAACCCATCAATCGAGCCATTTTTCCAAGAAAAGCTCTATTTATTGCATCTCAGAACCCGGGGAGGTGCAAGGAGGTCCTGTCAGGGAAGTGTAACTGTTGCAAGGACAGGATTTGGTGGGATAAACTGCCTTTTTGGGTCAGTCCTAGTTGGCCATGGAGCCTTGGATCTCTGGAGGGTGGATGTTGTGCCCAAGGTGCTTTTTGAGACATCCAGGCTTTGCAGCCTGCTCGGAAAAATAACATTAAAATGTGCCTTCCTTTCCTCCTGGTGACACTGTGCTCTCAGAGGTCACAGACATTGTATTTAATGTGCTTTAAACATCTTCAATTGGGCTTGAAAATTTATATTTAAAAACTTGAAACTTTATATGCTTTAAAAATTATATTTAATATGCTTGAAACATTATATTTAATACGCTTTAAACATGATATTTAATGTGCTTTAAACATGATATTTAATGTGCTTTAAACATGGTATTTAATGTGCTTTAAACATTATATTTTATGAGCTTTAAACATTATATTTTATGAGCTTTAAATATTGTATTTAATGTCATTACCAGTCGTAGTCCCACCCCTCTGTTCTGTTCTGGATCCATGGAGTTCCCACCTTCCTACTGAAGGATGGACAGAGACTGATTGAAGGCCCTGGGACCCAGAATCCCAAACTTCTGCCTCCAGAGAAGAGACTGGGACAACATCAGGCTGATGGCAAAAGTGGGAATGTTCTTGTTGACCTGCAATGCAATGGAAAAATGCCATTTTCCCCTTTTTTTTTTAGGCCTATATGTTCAAATGTGTGCTGAGCTGCTTTAAGTACATCAAAGCCAGCAAGAGAGAGGAGGTGAAAGTCGACCCACAAGCAGTTGAAAAGGTGAGGAAAACTCCTTTAGATTTAAAAAAATCACATTTCAGACTCATGAGGTCCATGGAGACCCTTCCTTGTGCTTCTCTGGTGGTCTGAGAGAGAGTTTAACCCTTCAAATGTGCACGGACAGGTCCTAAAAACCAGTTTCCAATTATATTATACTGTATATATTACATATACATTATTTTTGTATTAAATCTTCCAGTGGACTCTGCAAGGAACCTGCAGCTCAGGCTTCAGGCACAGCAGATAAATGGGAATATATCACTTGTAATCTCTGAGCCACAGCAGATAAATGGGAATAGATCACTTGTAATCTCTGAGCCAGAGCTGTGGGTTTAATTTCAGCTGAACTTTGGGTTCTGTGTGTCCAAGAGGGTTTAAAATGAAGCTTGTCTTCACCTTTCACAGTGATTTGGTGCATTGCCCTTCGCCTTAATGATTTGATAATTAATGAATCTCAGTGTCCCTCCTCGGGCTAGTGGTGATCTGTCTATGAGCAGCATCCAGCTGCTCTGATACGATGGAAAATTATTGACTCATGGAATGTCCTGAGCTGGGAGGGATCCCCAGGGACCACCCAGTCAACTCCTGGCCCTGCCCAGACACCCCAACAATCCCACCCTGCCCAAACCCTCCTGGAGCTCTGGCAGCTTTGGTGCTGTGCCCACTGGAAGTTGGGAACTTCTGTGAGGTCTCCAAGATCTTTAATCCTGTAAAGATGGGTGAGAAGCAGAGAGGAAGGATATGGAATGATAAATGTAGGGGTTTGTCTCGCTGAAACTTGGGAACTAGGCTGAGCCTTGCCTTGCCAGCAGCCTGTGCCCCTGCTGTGCCCTCTGCAGTGCCCTGAGCTCAGCTGCTTGCCTGATATTCTGCACATCAGAGGCTCTTGCACCATTGCTTTCTTCAGGACATGGAGGTGGGACTGGCAGCAAAGTGGTTCTAAAGTGCTGCTGCTCCTCTAACTCTGCTGGATTCCTGCCCTTCATGTCCTACAGCCCACGGGGCTCTTTTACCCAGCTTTGAACCAGCTGGAGAAACACGTCCAAGATCAAACCCAGAGCATAACTGATGGTCTTCTCTTCCAGGCTGTACTGCCATCCTATGAGGAAGCCTTGGAGTTGCCTGCCAAGGAGTCCCCACCACCCTATGTGACAATCTAAGCTCTGTTCTGGGGAGCAAACCACATCAGTGCTGCTGCTGGTGCCTCTTCCCCTGCTGTCAGATAGTCCCACTGAGGAATCCTCGCTCTGGAGCAGCTCCATGACCCCAGCTGGGTGATCCAGCCCACTGGGTGATCCTGCAGAGTGGGGGGATTTGATGCCTTGTCCCACACTGGCATTTTGACTCTCATTTCTTGCTCATTTTACCAGCCTGGGCTCCAGGCCCTGCAGAGATTCCCAAGCCTGGCTCTGCCCCGGGGCTGCTGGGACGTGCAGGCACTGCCTGAGCCCCTCCTGGCCCTGCTTTCTGCAGGGAGATGCTGCTTCTCGTCTGTCTCCCACATAACTGAGATATTTTGGGAGTGGCATGGGGGGGGAAATGGGGGAGAAGCTTTTCTGTGCCACAGCCCAGCCCTGAAGCTGTGCTAGCCAGACCCAGTGGCAAAGGGAGCATCAGGAGAATGAAGATCTCCCCTGAATTATGACCCAGCTCTCATCCTGTCTGCTTCCCATGAATCCATCCAACACACTGGGGTGCTCACAGTGTTGCTCTGCCATTTTATACCTGAGTGACTGCATATTTTATTTTGCTTTTAGTGTGACTTGAAAGATGAGTTTCAATTAAAAAAAAAATGTTAATGGCTTCACCACTTTGCTGTCTGATTTCTGCCTGCTGGGGTCTGATTTCTGAATCGTGGTGTCCTTCCTTTTTTTTAGGAAGCAATAATTTGCTTCCTGGGAAAAAAAAAATTAGCAAAAACTGGTGCTTTGACCTTGGGGTGATGTTATCACGTGTGTGTGCTGCTTGCAAAGGAAAAATTGGTATTTTTAACAGCAAGTCTGGTAATTTTATCTAAAAATCTTCCTCCATCCTTCCTCTTCTATGTGTGAGAAAGATCTATGGCATGTTCAAACTGACTGTGCACAGAGCAGAGACCAAATTCCAGGTACCTCTCATCTACTTGGGATTGTTATCTGCTTTTTTAAAACAGCTCAGTAGGGAAGTGTGGTTTGCTCAGTAATAACTATTCCAGCATCATCCCCAGCTTGGATCACAGCCTGAAACAAAACAAACCAACAAGATTTGAGGGAATATTTGCAAAGAATAAATAAGAAGTGTGGTGCTGCCCCGTGGTCTTTTCACTGGGTGTGTATTTATGCATATGGGGATGGAGATAATGATGTTGGTTAGGCACTTTTGAGCTGGTTTTCTCATCACTGAAAAGAAAGGATGACTCCCTTTCTCTGTGCTTCATCTTCCACGTTCTGGGAACCAGGATACTCAAAACCAGCCATGAAGTCTGGAAGGCAGCACCACGATGACACCTTAATAGCTCCAGTGCTTTTAAATATGCTTCAAATCATCCACAAAAACACACAAAAGGTACAAAAAAATCACCCACAAAAGTACCAACCACTCAAATTCTTCAAGGCAGAAAATAATTCCTCTGATCCTAAATGTGGCAATTGGGACCAAAGAGCGAGGGACCAACCCAAAATCCACCCAGGAAACCTGGCAGAGGAGTGTGAAGAGCCCAGCTTTATGCATCAAGGTCCAGCCCAGTCTCCTGCTTTATTATGTGGAGAGATAAAACATTACCTTTAATTCTGAATAATCAATAGGCTCCAGAACCTTCCAGACAAGCCCTCTTGGTCTTAGTCCTGAAGACCAGGCTGCAGCTGCTGCTCACTTCTCCCCAGCCCAAAGGCAGGGCTGGAGGAGGCCATGGGATGGGATAACTGGGTGGAGCTTCTCTTGGTAATTTGGGGAGTTTTTGGAAGCACAGTCCTGCCCTAAAGGTTCCTCAGCAGAGCCTGTAGGTGCTGAGCTGGTGTGTGACAACCCCCCCAGCACTGGGACATCGTCACCAGGCTCCTTCCACTGCCAGGGCTGACCCCAGTGACTGGGTCTGCCCAAGATATTGTTGGCTCCCATTCCCTTGGTTCCTAAACCAGAAGAGGGTTCTTCAATGTGATCCAGCTAAATCAGGCTAAAAATCCTTCTCCATCCCTTTAAACAGTTCAAATTCCACCTCTAATTAAACTCCCATTAACAATGCTCTGGGCTGTTTAGTTCCTGCAGCAGGATAAATCATTCCCTGAGCCTCCTGGTTTACTGGACTCTGCTAATCCAGCTAAAGCAGTTCAAGGATGTTCAACACAATCTTTGCAGAGCTGGGATTTGTCTCAAGATGTACCAGGAGCTTTCTTTACTGAACCCAATGTTCTCTGGCTCGGACCAAGCCAGTCCATCCTTCTGCTGGGCAGTGTTTTCTCTCCAAGGGCTCAGAGTAGTTTCCCAAGAAAGCCTGGCTCCAAACCCCCTGAAATGTGATAAAATGTATAGATTTATTGTGAGCTTCCAGCCAGGTCAGAGGCTGAGCTCGAGACGGGAAGTGGTTTTGGTTTTCTGAAATATTGGGGGACTTGGCCAACACAAACTGAGCACAAGCTGTCCCAAACCTCTCAATAAGTCAGACCGTGGCACTATCAATGCTGGGTTTGAGCCTGATAAAAGACTCTTTTTAATATGCCTCTGTTGCACTGCTTTTTCTTCTCCAAACTGATTTACTGAGGTGAGTCTCAAATACAGGCTGAGAACCAGCTCACACAAATATGTTCAGTGCTGCTCCACATGTTGCTTTTAGTTTTCCAGTGCAGAGGAGAAATGAGCAGCAATTCTTTGATGGAGAGAGGAGATGGAGGTGATGGAGAGAGCAGACTGAGCTGATGATCTTTCTTTGATGGAGAGAGGAGACTGAGCTGATGATCTTTCTTTGATGGAGAGAGGAGACTGAGCTGATGATCTTTCATGGAGAGAGAAGATTGAGCTGATGATATTTCTTTCATGGAGGGAGTAGATTGAGCTGATGATCTCAGCAATGACAGGACAGATAAGACAGAGGGTCTTGACCAAACCAGCAACATCTCATGGAGGTGGAGATGCTCCAGGACTCCAGAGGTGTCCATCAGATGACCTGACTGACCTTGGAGCTTTCCACCCATCTGACCCAGAGCAAAAGCTCCAGTGGAAAAGGGGCTTTTTGCTTTACAATTACAGAATCATTAAGGTTGGAAAAGAACCTCTGAGATCACCAAGTCCAACCATCAACGTGGCACCACCACCAAGTTCACCACTGTGCTTTATGTTAGATGCTGGAAGTGCTCCCATGCCCCATTCCCAGCCCTTTGGTCCAACGTTTGATAAACCTGTGCCCTGGTGGGAAATGTTTCCTTCTGATGGAAGCAGCACATGTTGCTCCAGCAATCCAGGCCACCCCTTTTTCTGTAAGAAACTCTTTGACATGGAAAACTGATTCTACATTTCTAAAGTGGAAACAGTCAAGCTGATTCTACAAATCCTGCTGGAAGCTGAACAGTGCCAAAGCTGGCAGAGAATCCAGTGCCAGTAAAGCCTGGGGAGGATTGGAGGCATTTTTCTGGTGCTGGCTTCTTTCAGACTTGGAAATGGCATCTGGGAATGTGAGGGAGCTGCTGGAAACCTGGGGAAAACGATGTGTAATGCACCATAGTCAGAGCTGGGCGGGTCGAGCCAGAGTGTCCACTGTGATGGAAAGGCCTCCCCCAGCCTGAGTATAAACAGACCTTGAAGAGGGCAGAGGCAGCAGCTTGGCAGCATTCCCTGGTACCTCCTGGAGCTGCTGTAGCCCGTGGGCTGCCTGGCCCTGGAGCAGGGGAATCCCGGCTGATGGATGTGTGGAATGTCTCCAGGAGGCTGTCACGGCACAGTGTCCTGCACCACAGGGGCTGTGTGTCTTGGGTTCAGGCTGCCTTGGTTCCTGATGGTTTGAATGACCCCTCTAAAGCTCCCAGGGTCCAACCCCCCGAGCCTGGCACAGGCACTGCTGTAATTGTTTCAATCAGAGCACATGCGAGGGCTTCACTCCTTGCAGACAGTTCATTAAGATAATTACTCACTTGTGGCAGTCAAATGAAGTCGCTGCAAGTGCTGTCCCCAGTGGTGGGCCCAGGGTGACACAAACTGGCAGTGTGGTGATGCATCAACCAAAGCCTTTTCTTTTGCTTTCACACTCATCCATCAGCCCAGGAGCCCCCACGGGCTCCAGCTGAGGAACTCCCTCACCCATGTGTCTGCTCACAGGGGGGTTGGGACATTTCTGTCAGTGAAAGTTATTTTATAATGATGCTCCTCTTCCTGGGTGATCCCAGAGTCTTTATTACTACATCTCACTGGAAGTGTCCAAGGCCAGGCTGGATGGGACTTGGAGCAACCTGGATAGTGGGAGGTGTCCCTGACCATGGCAGGGGGTGGAATGGGATGGGCTTTAAGGTCCCTTCCAACCCAAACAATTCAAGGACTTTATGATTTCTACCCTGATCCTTTGGTGTGGTTTGCTTTAATCCAGCAGCTATTTTGGCTCATTCACCTCAGAGAAAACGAGCTGCCCACACAGAGACCACCTTCAGAACTGGCCAGTGTTATAGAGCTCTTCCATTCACAGAATCCCAGAATATGCTGAGCTGGGAGGGACCCCCAAGGATGATGGAGTCCAACCCTGAGCCCTGCACAGGCCCAGCCCCAAGAGTCACCCCCTGTGCCCCAGAGGATCAGCCAAACCCTCCTGCAGCTCTGGCAGCCTTGGGGCTGTGCCCACTGCCCTGGGGAGCCTGGGCAGTGCCCAACCAGCCTCTGGGGGAAGAACCTTTGCCTGAGATCCACCCTGAGCCTGCCCTGACACAGCTCCAGCCGTTCCCTGGCTGCTGTCCCTGCTCCCCCAGAGCAGAGCTCAGTCCCTGCCCCTCCTCTGCCCCTGCCCAGGAATTGGAACTGCACTGAGGTCTCCCCTCAGTCTCCTCTGCTCCAGCTGAACACACCAAGTGCCCTCCATCACTGCTTGGGTGGCCTCTCCAGACCCTTCACCATCCTCATGTCCCTCCTTTGGTTGCTCTCTGACAGCTTTAGGCCTTTCTTATACCCTGGTGCCCCAAACTGGCCCTTCAAGCCACTTGCAGGACAGAAACCACCTCAGGGGCTCCTGGGCCAGCCCAGAACTGTGTCCCTGCACAGGTGGAGAATTCCAGGCCCAGAGGGAGGACCT